ATGGATATGGAAAGATTCGTAATACCGGAATACATTGCACGGTCGAGACAAAGTCGACAGAAAGTCTGGCTGCATATCGTGAAAAAAATAATAAAATGCAGGATTGAAAAGCCATCAATTTCTTGATCGAGGATAATCTAATGGACAGAAGACTTGAAGGAGGTAGGATTAGCGAAAACTGTGCATATTGCTTAGGCAAACCAGGAGGAGATCAAGCAACAGCAAAATCAACCTAAAGATAACGACTAGGTGAAGACAATATTTTCAGTTTTTAAAAGGAATAGCAAGGTCACAGTAAAACAATTGGAATCAAAGAGATTGTGTCTTAATTCGAATAAATAGAACTATCACATTAAGGGATTGGTACACAAGATAGTATGTTATAAGAAAGTCATGGATAAAATAGTGAGAGATGCGGCAGAGACTATAGATCATTAGCTATTATTACATAACATTTACGATTGACGTAGTTAATTAACTAAGGACTCGAACAAAAAAATTAAACGGAATATATGCCGCAAAGAGATAAGTGAATCTGCAGCGTTATGTTGACTTTCCATGCGTTTTGCTAATCCAGAAATTGGAGGCTTGCTATGTAACGCTGGCAGATACATGCTACCGTCCTGAGTAGCATATATATAGGGGCATCGATCGGAGGGAGACTCTGATAGGATTTGAAAGAAGAGGATTGACGACCAAGCAACAGTCTTGGGTTAATAGTCCCAGTACAGTGGGGAGAATATGGGAACTACTGAGAAGTGTAAACGGATCTCACTAACTACTCTCAAAAGGGGACATCTCAAATAGGTTTAGATAAGCAAGTGAAAAATTATCAAAGAGAAGGAATGTTACGAGAATATAGGATAGATAAATAACTTAAAACTTAAGTAGAGAAACACTAACTGTTTAGCAGATAATCGGTCAGAGCATCGAATTCATTTGTCTTTTTGACGAGTTTTAGTCTGGCGCTAAGAATGGTGAGGCTCATTTGTAATGCCGGCGGAATCTCCGAGAACGTACCAAGTAAAGAGTTGGACACCTGCAATGTGGCAGACTGGTTAACGTGTCAAGCTCACATGCTGCACTGTCACGATTCGACTTGCACTGGGGGAGTTGATAAGAACTATGTGAGGTCGAAACTTCAGTCCACCCTGGATAAGAACAACTTTGTGGAAGCAGGGCTCTGTCAAATTTAATGGAAACAACAGCTCCACACATATCATTATGGGAGAATTCTACTACAAGTCCTTCATCATCTTAAACAAAATAGGCTGAATACACCTCATATTACTAAACGTAGTTTAAAACCTAAGATTGTACTTAAAAAGTCAAAGGTATTATTTTTATAGGGCCTGCCACCACAAGAAATTTTGCCTTTATTTCTCGATATTATTCATCTTGATACTTTCGTTAGTTATACCTTATTTTAGACATAAATATCACGCATTAACAAGATAGCCGTTACAAGAGTGTGTGATCATGGTGTTATTATACTTTCATGAGTATTGTCGGCCTATTAAAAAATATTAGAGGAAAGTCAAAAAGCTTAGTCCAACGTAGAAAAATGGCTGAAGATAGGGTAGAGACTCAAAGCGGGAAAAAATTGTATAGAGAAGATATTAGAAGACAACAAAATAAAGCGACAAAACCTGTCAGTTCAAAGGATGCCCTAACACATTCGAATTAGCTCATTAACAAACAATTGCATCCGTTTCACGCTTCATCTGCCTCCACTTCTCACATAATCAACAAACACATATCTTAACTTTTCAGAAAGCATTTTGGCAAAGCACAACTCATACATATACTTGAATGAAAGTATCTAAAACCTTCTTTTTTACGGAAAAAATGTAATGACATAAATTACTATAGCAAATAGAAGTTTGCTTTATTGGCAACCACAACACAGAATGTGTTAAGGAAAATGTCTGATATTCCTTAAAATTCATATCTGCCCTGTGACCCAAGGGCATTGTTGGCAATGTGGTATAGTTGTTAACGTGTCGAGCTTACACTTGGAACTGTCATCTTTCGATTCCCGCTTAGGGTGTTGATAAGACCTATATGGGTAAGAAACTCCATTCGACCCAGGAGAAGAACAATTCTTGGGAAAGCAAGACTATGTGAAATTTAATGGGAACCTTAGCTCTACTCGTATCATTGTGAAAAACATCAAGTGCCAGACCTTAAACAAAATAGGGTGAATACAAATCATAAAGCAAAGGATATCTAAACAACTCCTGAGATGCCGCATTAAGCGGACCAATTTAGACTACGACTGCAACGTTTCTTGTAGAAAAGCTGGACTTCGCAAAATCCCTTATCAATGTTACGGACATAAGAACATCTATTTTATATTTCAACGATGATGATGCCATGTTAACTCATCCAAATCAAACTACCTATTAAATCTAAACAACCAGATAAAGACGAGTAAAATCCATCATGTGCTAATGGCCAGAGAATATATAAAATAACTCAATTTCATACTAAATTCAATTCTGCAGAAAGAAATCCAGTTTGATCAGCGTTCGTTTTGCCATAATGTAACTTCCCTCCAGATGAATGTGTGCTATGATTTCGTGAATCTTATTGTGGACATCGACAAAAATTATTTTTAAAAGTAATAATTTAGGCTAACGAAGAAGTATATTTTATATAAATATAGTGTTTTTTGTGTGTTATAGATGAATAAAATTAGTTCATGTAATACCAATCTAACAAGCTGTGTACATATGTTTTGCTTAAGCGTGTGCGTTTGTGAATCCTTTATTATTGCTATCAAATATTATATGCTCTAGAAAAATATAACAATTATATGGAACCTTAAATTATTTAATTATATAATTGACACATTAAATAAAAAATGGAAAATATATACTTTTAATATAAATATGGTAAATGAATCTTAAGGTACATACTGCAGACGCATTTTTCTTCATAATAAACCAAATTTTAGTATTAAAATATTTTTTGGTTAATTATTTATAGATTTTGTACTATAATGGAAGCTGTACGTAATAAGTTTAAATGAACAATTCTAATTAATAACCATAGTGATATTTTAAGAGGCATTCTGAAATGTCTGTCATTTATATGCCAAAAGGCATGAATAGGGCATACAAGTGGAATGAAGAGGTTGAAGATGCATATAGATTTCAATTAGCAGGATACAGAGATGAGGTTGAATATAAGGTAGGAAATATGCAACCAGTATTAAACGAACTATATAGCATTTCAATGACAATTTATTTGTTGAAAGGTGGCCGGATTCGGGATTTGTAAAAAAGTTAAAGAGAAAAGATGGATTTTTTTATTATTATAACAGAAAGCGAGAATGTGAAGACAAAGATGTTCATAAGTGCAAATTATACATATATTGAATAAAACTGACATTTTGCACTCCATCACCCTCAAACTCACTATGTCTATTCAAAATTTTTTACTTACCTCATTGATTAAACTATATTGACATACCTTTGTAAAAAGAAATACATACTGGAGAGATTTTTCAAAAATACCTTTTCATTGATTTCTTACATAATTGTTTCGTTTTGCGTTATTAAGTAGGTCAATATTAACCCTAAATACACCTATACAGAACTTTTCTAGTTTACTT